TTTAGGGGAAAAGCCTCAGCGAAGGGCCTTAGGGTGCTCCTAGCTGAGAGAATGGGTGGCTATATAAAAGCTTGAAGACAAATCTATGTGAGATGCTGTGCAAATACCCCAACTTAACCTCCCATCTGAGCTCACAATTCTGGGCTCTCTTCCTGTCCTGAAAAGATGTGGAAAGATCAACAGCTATGACTTTAAGGCCAGGTACTTGGTCGGGGGGACAGGGCTGGAGAAGACAATCTCTGCATCAGTTCTGCCTCCAGGTCCTCATGAAGATGATGGATTTGAGCATCTCTAAGATCATGTTCAACTCAGGGTGGATCACTGGAGAACAATAGGGTAATTTCCCAGCTCTACCTCTTGCCTTCAGTCAGCTGGGCAGGGCTGGCAAGGCGCCAGGCAGAACCATAGCCCGCCTGGGGCTTTCCCTTTTCGCAAGGGCCCCAGCGAGGCCCAGGGGCAGTTTGGGAGCATGGGTCCCATCTTAAGCCAAACAATATTCTGTGTCTGTATGTGATGGGAGCCAGAGCACCCCAATCCATTAGAGCCCCCCACCACTATTTCTAGAACACCTCTACTCTATGCTGAGTACTAAGCTATGGACACTGGGGCAATCCAGACAGAACATATCCCTGATCTCATGAAGCTTCCAGTCTGAATGGGGGAGGCAGACAGTAAGTACGTGGACAAATAACACATCAGGGTACAGGCATGCGTGTCTCTGGAGGGACACAGCCTGGGCATTGCCTAAGGGCAGAGACTAGGTCTCAGGTTCCTGAGTGTCCCGGCAGCCACTCCTAGGGCTGACTCAGAGTGGGCCCCACTCAGCAAACTTTTGTTGAATTACCTGGCATGAGAGTTAGCACATGGAAAGTGCCCCATCTTTCTGCTTCTGTCCGTGGTGGAAGCCAGCGTGTACACACAAGCATCTCATTTCAATTAAACCTCATTTATTGAGGGCCCATTATGTACCTGCAGGATCCCAAGCTCTGAGAATCTAGACCAGAATAGAATCAGGCCCCTGTCTCCCTGAGCTCACAGGACAAGGTGGAGGCAGGCACATGGGCCAACCGGGACCCGGTGTGTTTAGGGTGATGGGTTGTGTGTATAGCTGAGTCCTACCAGGAAGTATTGGGGGGCTGCGCAGGAGGGAAGGATGAGAAAGAGCTACAAATGGCTATTCAAATCCACACAGGTAGATAGACACCTCCAGAGACAGTCGCTCACAGAGATTCACCACTGGGCACTGACTGCATAAGCATGTGTGGACGTAAATACTGACCCTTGTAGACCCAGCCACCCACAGGCCTGTTAGTGGTCCCCCAAATTGGAGAGGCATGGGGTGAGAGAATGGCCTGCATGTTGGGGGACTGATACCCAGCAACCCCCTGGGAATCACCAGACTTGGCCAGGGGATGCCCTGAAGTGGGCAAAACTCGGTCTGGCCCAGAGAAGTAAGACTGATTTCTGGCTCACAGTGACGTCAGTGACCAGAGTCGGCCAGTCACCTGCAGGCTGGGCCTGATCCTCAGGGCAGAAGCCAGGGAATTTGATAAAATCTTTCACTGTTAGTACTTGTGCTTGTTGAGGCGTTTGAACCAGGTCAGGGTCTGGAGAGCTCGGTGGGGGAGCGGAGTGCTCGGAGTTGGCTGGGCCAGGCTCACATTCCTTCAGGGCAGAACTGTGCGCTTTAGACCTGTCTGCATCCCTATTTAGACTTTTTTGCTCTTAGGAGCTAACAAATAGAAAGTGTCGGGAACAGCTCCTGGCACACGGTAGTCTCTCAGTGAGTGGTCATTCCATCCCCAAGACCATGCCCTTGGTGTGTGGTGGAAGTTTGACCTTTGCAGTTGTGAGGCAGGGAACCAGGGAGCCAGCCTGGAGGAGGTGACAGGAAGGAGAACCTGGTGAAGCATGAGGTTGGGATTCTTGCCCCATCTCCTGCGCAGGGCTCTTTATTTGTTCATTGAATGAGAGATGACCCTTCCTCCAGAGTGACCTTCTGCGGAAACCTTGGAGTTTTGTGTATTCTTTTTATAAGAGATGCTATTTCTTTGTAGTAATAATAGCTTTTCTAGTGCTTTCTACCTGCCAGAGACTGTTCTACCAGCTTCACATATAACAACTAACTTTATGCTCTAATGCTCCAGTGGGGCCGTTTTATAGATGCAGGAACTGTCCCAAAGCAATTCAGTAAAGTGTGCAAGGTAACACAGTGACTACGTAGTGGACGCAGGATGGCACCGGGAGCCACTGTCTACTTACCACTAGGCTCTGTCGCCTCTCTGGAAGGGAGCTCTGTTTTTCTCCTTCACCCGTACCGTGGGGCCCTGGATAATGCACCGTCTCTCTCTGGGTCTCCCTTTCCGTCTCTGGGAAGCAGAAAAGCCTCGCGGCCTAGTGACTTCAGGGAAGTCATGAAGACCAAGCTGCTGGCCCACATCCCTGCAGGCCGTGCTGGGAGAAAATGGGGTCCTGGTGCAGCATTCCGGGGAGTAGATGTCCTAGGCCGGGCATTCTGTATCTTGCCCTTTGCAGCAGGGGGAGGGTGGGTCGGGGGCCTTCTCTAAGCCCCATCGGCAGACCTGCAAAAGGGCTCACAGACCTCCCAGAAGGACCTAGATTAAGGACACTCATGAGAACACCAGCAGAATAACCCATCTCTTTTAAAGTAAATTCCTGCAGAGAAAATCATAAACTGCAAGCAATTTGCACCCGGGCCAAGGCCCTCAGAGCTTAAATATATTCTTCTGGTCTATTTATAGTCTCAGAGAAATTAGTGCCTTCTGGGTAATGGGAGTGCTGACAGATTCCAGCTGGTCAGGGCCTGCCAGGCACTGGCGGGGGAAAAGCGTGGGAACCATGGAACCTTCTGGTATAGGACTCTGCATTCCCCAGTTCTCCTTCCTGGCCCAGCCTGTGCAAGCAGGACAGAGCAGTCACCAAGGGGCCACACTATTGGTCTCTCTGTGACCTAAATGGGAGGTAAGCCAGCTGCCAGGCCCCTAAGAGTTGAGAGGTGAGCTTTACTTCAAGCCTGTCATTTTCCAAGGAAGACTCAAAGAGGAGCAGCAACCTATCCAGTCTCACACAGCTAGCGCTGAGCTCTTCAACCACCGTGTCACCATCCCCACTGTAAGCCTAGCATAACCCCCGAGAAGCTGGCCGGAGACTCCCCAAGAGGAAAGAGTGGGAGCTGAACACCCAGTGAGTGACATGCTCCCGAGGAGACAGCCCCCAAATGAGTGGGGAAGGCATGTGCTGGGGACTTGGGAAGAAAGTCTGAACGCCCTTCCCTGGCATTCAGGTCTCCAAGCTCCCTTTTCAAACTTCTCCCTCCCCCCTCCAAGACAGACCCTTCCCTGCAGCTTAACCCCTGGACGCCCCCAGCTCCCACACTCCTGGCACTCTTGTCTACACCACTCTGCCCATCCCACTCTCTCATTAGCTGAATGCTCTCACCCCTCAAGGGCAACTAGTGGAAGCAAAATGACGTCAAAGTCCACTCTCTAGCCTCTGACATCCTCAGCCCTGGTCCCCGGCCCTGTGACTTGCTCCCGCCCTCTTTCCTGGAGCTGTCAGCAGGGAGGCCTAGTGTCCTGCATGCTGTGTGCTGCCCAGACTCCCCTCAGGACCCAGGCACTCCTTCCGGCCTTCTTCCCACTGTGGGACATGTAGTGGCTCCCAGCTGAGGCCTTCTCCAGAACCTGCCCTCAGTCAAACAGCATTGGTTGACCTGAGGCCATGTGACCTTCCCTGAGCCGATGATGGGGTATAAAGGTTCTCCCTCTCTTACCCCAGTGCTGGAGCTCATCCCAGCTCCAGAGCTTCTTGGTGGTTCCACTGAGGCTATTGCCACTGGACCTCAGTTGAGTTTCTCCCCGTGTCTAGTCCTGTTCCTCCCAAGAGTCCACCCACCACCGTCTCAGAGAATACTTTCAGGGAGGCTGGGTTTTGACTCCTGGTGACGGAACGGCTAAGTGGCCGGCCTGCATCCACATAGAGAGCAACCATTTTAGCTCTGTGACCTGGGCCGAGCTACCTAACTTCTGCATATGACAGCTTCATCTGTGAAGTTGAAGGAACGATGCTGGGATAATAGCTCCTGTCTCTGGAGAGTATTGTGAGGATTCGATGAGATGATTGATGCATGATGCTTGATACTGAGAAAGCACTCGACAACCATTAACTGTTATGATTATTTGCATTTAACTCTCAGAGGTCCGGGTGTATGAGGATAGGATATTATCTGTGTCATGGGGTTGTAGGTGACGATCTGGTAAGAATGAAGAACAAAGGGTTAAAACCTGTGATCCAGTAACTTCATACAGAATCAAGGGTGAAGTTCTCTGGGGACTGGAGAAGTTCATCCTGGAGCTGTGGTCTGGAGGCCAAAGCTTCCCCCAACTGGCGCGGATCCCTGCTTCAGGTACTATGGCAGCTGTAACAAATTACCACGAATTCAGCAGCTTGAGACAAGACAGTCTTATGGTGCTTTAGGTCATGCGTCTGGTACGGGTGTCAGGACCAAAGTCAAGGTGTCTGTAGACTGTGTTCCTTTCTAGGGGGTCTTGGCAAGAATCCTGCTTATTCAAGTTGTTGGTGGAATTCAGTTCTTAAGGTTGTAGGACTGAGGTCCCCATTTTCTAGCTGACTATAAAATGGGGGTCAAGCTAAGCTTATAGATGCTACTACATCTTTAACTTGTGGCTCCCTTTCTCCGTCTTCAAAGTCAGCACAGGAAGGTGGACGCTCACAGGTCTTTCTCTGATCTACCCGCTTGGTCATTCTATGTTTAAGGACTCACGTAATGAGACTGGGCCCACCTGAATCATCCAAGCTCCTCCCCATCTCGAGGTCCTTAGTCACATCTGCCAAGTCCCTTTTGCCATGTATGGTTGCATAGGGATTCGAACCTGCACCTTGTGGATCAAGGGGCATCATCCTGCCTACCGGTCACCAGCATGGAGCACACAGGATCCAAAATTTACCTCCTCTTCCAGGGAGAGGTCTGCGCATCTCCTTGTGCCACAGGCACCTACGGCCCCAACTGCTCGTCCGTCTGCAGCTGTAACAACGGTGGCACCTGCTCCCCAGTGGACGGCTCCTGCACCTGCAAGGAGGGTAACGTGCCACCTTCATCCCCCCACAACATGTGCATATGTTGCTCTTCCTGGCCCACCCACCCAGAGGCAGGGGCAAGGAACCTTGACGTTGGGTTCCAGCCCCAGAAACCCATGCCCAGGACTTGAACAGCAGGAGGGAACACGGGGAACCAGTGACGGTGGTTTAGAACAGCGCAAGGGACATACAAGGGCAGGAGACACCCTGGAGATGAGCAGCCGAAGCGACCCTGGGAGGAATGCTACCTCTCAGAGGAGGAGAGGGCCAAAGGGGTTCTGGAGTTCCCAGGCCCTGGGAGCGAGGGCACTAGTGGAAGCGGGGACGCAGACAGAAGGGCAAAAACAGAGAGAACCAGGGAGCAGGAGGCTGGGCTCCCGTCCCCACTCTCCCAGCAGCTGTGCTGATGCTGAGCAGCCCCTGGGGAACGTGAGTGATTCAGTGGTCTGGGGGTGCCTTGTAGAGCTGGGGGAGTGGGCAGAAAGGCATGCTGGGCCTAGGTGGAGATGTGACAGCCCCTCCCCACACCACAGGGTGGCAGGGCCTCGATTGTGCCCTGCCGTGTCCCAGCGGGACGTGGGGCCTGAACTGCAACGAGACCTGCGCTTGTGCCAATGGGGCGGCCTGCAGCCCCGCCGATGGCTCCTGCTCCTGCACCCCCGGCTGGCTGGGAGAAACCTGCGAACTGCCCTGCCTGGTGAGTGCCCTTGCCCTGTGGTTTCATCCACAGAGGTGCCCAGAGAAGACACAGTACTAGGTGGTGAGACATTGAATTCGGGTCTCAGCCCTTGCTGTAATTTTCCTATTTGGGGCTTGGGCCTCTCATCTATGAAGTGACAAATTCTTGGCAGATAGGATGATGGGGCATCGCTTTCCTCTTGCTGCTCTAAGTAAGTATTATTAACTGACTTTGGCACATCATCCTGGGCCCAAATGTGGCTTTACAATCTTTCACAACACAATCCCACAGAATAGCTCTCACTAATCAGTGTTGCCATTCCTTGAGAGATAAAGTCTAAATTTCTTAAATATGCTCAGGTTCCAGCAGCATATACCCTTATGCTGGGTGATGTAGGATTAAAGCAAGGACTCTAGAGCAATAACTACCCAGATCACTGGATCCTAGTCTAAGACAGAAATAAGTGAAACCAACTGATGTGATATCATTGAATGCATCCTACAGAACTGGGTTCAGATCCTGGCTTCGCCACATCCTGCCTATGTTACCTTGAGCCTGTGACTTCACCTCTCTAGCCCTATTTCTCTTCTTGCATTTGGGAGTATGTTGGCACCATCTCTTAGAGCCACCGGGAGCATTAAGAGAAATGAGTTCTACATGGCTCTTGATACCTAATGAGCATGCAGCAAATGCTGGTTGTCACCTCCTTCCCTAAAAACAAAGAATAAACCATAGCCACTCCTCATGTATGATCAAAATGTTACAATTTGCAAAGTGCCTTTTCATTTACAATTTCAGATAATAATCATTACAGACCTCTGGCCTCTGAGCTTGACCATTGGCAAGTGGGGCAGGACTGTCACTCTATCTTTCTAAGCCACATACTCCTGTTAATGTAGCCAAATGATTACTTGGAATGGCCTCATGGCCACGTCTCATTACAAAAAATGTCCCCACAGTGTCCCAGCCCCAGTCTCTCTGCATCCTTGTGAGATAGTGATTCCGTGTTGTCACCAAAATCCAACAGAAATCTCTGAATCTCGGGGGGGTTCTAGGTCTGATCATTTCTCTCTCCACAGGATGGAACATTTGGTCTGAACTGCAGTGAGCGCTGTGACTGCAGCCACGCCGATGGCTGTGATCCCGTCACAGGCCACTGCTGCTGCCTGGCGGGCTGGACAGGTAACCCCCTCAGCCTCCCCCACCCGGGTTCTGTGAGACTGTGTTCATGGTACCCTCTCAGTTCTCTCACCCTACGCCCTCCTCCCTACTCTAAATTCACACCTTGACCCATATTTCCTCTGGGCTTCAGTTCTCTGTTCCATTTCAACTCAAGTGAACACATATTTACTAAACAACTATTATGTGGAGACTGTTCAGGGACTCGAGACACACCCACATCTTCCTTTCACAGTCCGTCCCTCTCTTGTTACTGCACGCTAACTTTGGGCAACTGTTTTTCTACCTGCCCCCCCCCCCACCATCTTGACCATCAGCTCTATGCAGGCGGAGACCACATCTGCCTTGTTCAGCACTGTATCTGCTGCCCTGCCACACATTTGAAGTTTGAAGTTAACACCTGTATGTGCTAGCTGGTATTAGCACACACTGACAGGTGCTGACGGTGCTGACATGCAGTAAGTGTTTGGTAGATGTAAGCCATGAACACAGGAAGTACTTAATAATGATGTATGAATTCACCAGTGGCAAGGTGGTAGACAAGGAGAAGGAAATACCGTGATTGCTACAGGTCCTCAGGGCCTCAGAGAGATAACCCCCGGCACGTGCTGGGGAGACCACAGCCAGAGTTTCTGAGCAGCGAGGGTCAAGGGCAGTGCCTCCTCTGTGGCATCTCTGGCCTGGCTCCCTTGCCTTGCTGCCCCGGGTACAGAGTAAGGCCTGGTCACTGGCAACCTAGACACTTAGCTGGAGCCAAGTGGAGATCCGCTTTAATTTTTCATTGCCCTCATTTCAATGAGCTGGTAAGATGTTAATGACATCTGGTGTTTAAAAATTCTGTCTTTGATGGACAACCTTTCAGCAAGGCTTCTGCTGTTCTAAAGCTAATTTCCCCCAACGTGGTCCGGAAGTCTTTTCAAAGGAGGAATTGATGTTCTGAGGTTTGGCGGGCAAAGGGGAGCAAGGAGGTTTAGGGACAGGATGGCGCCCAGGCGTCTCATCAGGGAACCCTCCCATCCCCTGCCGACTCCCAGTCTTGGCTCAACACCGGTTTTGCTGGGACTTAAGTCGTGTGCGTGTCTTCTTCCTTCGCCCGCATGAGCCCTGGCATCTCGATGTCTGGCATCATGTCTGTTTCAACTTGCTCTGCACATAGTAGGTGTTCACTGAAACAAAAGGAATAATAAATGGAAACAGTCATATATGGCTTTCCCCTTGAGGTAAGGGAGACCTTAAAGATGATCTACTCCAGTCACTTCATTGCGACAGATGAGGAAATGTGGGGGTGGGTGCCCAAGTTCTTAGAGTACCGGTACCAATAGAATAAGGATTATAGGATTGAATCTTAAGGGGAAGCCATTTAACCATACAACTAGCATTTATGCACGCAGTCACCAGCCTTTATCTGGCAGCCACTCTGCCCCCAGCCCTGTGAGGGCAAAATTCAACAGCGATATGCTTGGGCACCTGTTCTGTGTCAGGCGCTGTGCTGGGCACTGGAGATGCAAAGATGACCACAGTGACCCCCTAGTCCACCAGGAGCGGCTAGATGAGGCAGGTCGGAAGTAGGAGTAAACCATGGCCCGTCTTTACTGCTGGCAGGAGAGACAGAATCCTATGTATGAAACACTCCAGCACCAGGTAGGGACAGAGCTGTACGCCACCTCAAAGAGACTGTGCTTGAGTCCCTGGGTAGACCTCCAGGAAAGCCAGGGAGAGTCCCAACTGGCCCGCGAAGGATGTGGGCTGCTGAGTCGCTGCTGGCCTGGCGGCATGAAGTTGGGGTATTGCAGTCACAAGATATGGATCTTAGCCTGGCATTAGCCACCAATAGAGATGTGTAGGGATCCTGAAAAATACAGCAAGGAGATTCCCTGGGAGTAAGAAGAGGAGGGGTCAGAAGGATTCTCAAAGGGGAATTATTAACCCCATTCGGCTTCTGGGAAAGGAGTGCCTGGAGCGCAGGACGGAGAGCGCCATGCCTCCTAGACCAGGTAGATGGGCTTCCGGTCAGGCCAAGATCAGCCCCTTTACCACAACAGCCCATCCCCTTATAGAATTGGGAGAAACCCTGGACCCTTCTCTCCACTTAAGTCTCACTCTCTTAAGTTGCAGGTAGCTCTTAGGTCATAAAAGAACCTCAGCAGGAGCCCCACTCGCACAGAAGCAGCCCAACATAACTGCCAATCCCAGAAGTCATTGGGTCCTTGTGGCCGCCTGCAGCCTGCACAGAATCACCTTAGACCCATGGTTCTCAATCTCCAAGAGAGACTGACACAAAGTCTCTCTGAGGGCCCCACACGAGAGTAGCTGTGTTCTTAATATCCACTGATTGGGGAGAGAGGGGAACAAAGCAACAAGCTGTCATGCATCCAGAGGTGCTTTTGCAGGATTTGTGTTTTATTAATTGCAGTAATTTCTGCGTGTAGTTGTAAAAAGCAGTGTCTGTGTGTGCAGCATGTGCCTTGATGACTCTACGAAGAGTGCTTGGACAGGTGGGGTCAGAGACCCTGTCAGCCAGTGGAGCCCACCTTAGCCCAGCGTGCCTCCCAAGATCACCTGCACCCCTGGGCCTGCAGTGTGAATGCTGTTTTTTTAAAAAAAAAGATTTATTTATGCATATAAGAACAGAGGTGCAGGGCTGGGGTGGGGGGCGGTGAGACGATTCACCAAAGACAGAGTGGGGAACAGAACAGGCAGACTGACTGAAATACACTGCTGAGGGGAGCAGCGGGCGAGACAGGAGAGGTCTCCTGCGCCATGTGGGTAGCTACCTGACTGGCCGGGGATCAAACTCGTGCTGCAGAGGCTGCGGATAGCTTCACAGCGCTGTGCTCAACCCCTTGTGCCACCAGGAAGGCCCTGAATGCTGGGTTTTCAACAACCACAGGATTCCTTAGCTGAGGAATCCTGCCGCAACTCACTTTTGGTGTGCCTAGACAAGGGGACACGGGTGCAGCCAAATCTTTGGGGAGCTTCGTGGCTTCCCCGTTGTCCCCTTCATTCCACCCAGTCTGTTTGGCCAGGGTTCATCTCTCGTGTTCCTGAAACTCCAGGGAGAGGTGCTTCCTCTACCTCAGCTCAGAAAGACCATATAGGGTTTGCTCCTCTTGCTTGTTGAAAAATTCTATTCATTCCCCCACAGACCACTGTTTGTCAAACTGAGGATCATTAAGTCAATTTGTTGGGTCAAAGCTTGCTTATTTTTTAAATGAAATCAAATATATCATAGTGCAGAGAAAACAGTGCATCATACTCAGTGACAATAAATGTCACTTTGCAAAATGTTGCTTTCTAGTCCACATCTGTGTGCACATACAAGGTAAACACAGCGTTGAGGACTGTGGTGGAAAGAGTCTGAAGAGACTGTCCCCTCTGTAGGGACAGTGGCTGCTGGGCCAGCATGGGTGGGCACAGAGCTCACTCCCAGCTTGTGCAGTCCCGGAGAATAGAGCTCACTCGCCCCATCGTTGGGTTCTCCCAGGCCTAACCGAGGATACCAGCTGAGATGTCAGAAACAGAGGAAGCCCTTCACAACCTGCTGCTTGCGGATGCCCACCATCGCATCCCGCCCCACCCTGTCCTGTTTTATGGTTCAGTCACACACATTATTTTCCTTCCGAGGCATGATTCCCCCTCCTCCTGCTCTCTGCACCTCGGGTTTCCTTTACCTGATCAATCCCCCCTTGACCCTGAGGACTCCATTTGGGCATCACCTCTTCCTGGAAGCCCTCTCTGACTGGCCAAGCCTCAGCTGGGCTCTTCCTCCACACTCAGACGCGCTGTGCTCGCCTCCACCTCTGCATACCGCGCAGCGCCCCTGCCCGTCGCTCTTCCTTGCCCCCCGGCCCTCTTACCACTGACCAAGTCTGCCTCTGGCCCACAGGCATCCGCTGTGACAGCACATGTCCGCCGGGTCGCTGGGGCCCCAACTGCTCCGTCTCCTGCAGCTGTGAGAATGGCGGTTCCTGCTCCCCCGAGGATGGGAGCTGCGAGTGTGCCCCTGGCTTCCGAGGACCCTTATGCCAGAGAAGTAAGGCTGAACCCCCATCGCGCAGACCTCAGGAGACTCGTCTTCCCCACCCCTTCCCTGTTGGAACTAGGCCTGGCCTTCGAGAGGCTGGGCTCTGAGTCAGCCCTTAGCAAATCCTTCCCTTAGTCCCCTTTTTCCTGCTCTGGCTTTTCTGTCCCCAAGTTCAGGGCCCAGCTCCTCCCTGTAGAAGGGACAGCCCTCTCAAGTGTGGGGTGGGTATGGCACTCTCCATACTTCTAAGGCGCCTCCCTTCATCACTGTGTGGGACCCAAGGGGTGGCCAGGCTGGTGGGGTTCCTGGGGCTGCTGACCCCCATCTCCCCTTCACCACCAGTCTGCTCCCCGGGGTTCTATGGCCACGGCTGCACCCAGCCGTGCCCCCTCTGCGTGCACAGCAGCGGGCCCTGCCACCACGTCAGTGGCATCTGTGAGTGCCTCCCCGGATTCTCCGGAGCCCTCTGCAACCAAGGTACTGTCTCCCAGGGGCAAGGTGTGGGAGGGGGGAAGTGGTAAGGAGGGCAGTGTTAGGGGTTCTCATCATAGTGTGTGGAGGCAGCGCCTGCCTCTTCAGGGCCTGGACCACCTCTCTAGGAAGTGGGCAGCAAGGGCCAGGGGACGCATCTGCGCCATCATGTGCTCAGACAGGGGATATGACTTGTCCTTGGTCTCACAGCTAGCATGTGGCAGAGCTGAGAAATGACCTCTGATGCCAAAAGCCATTCTAAATGGGTAAAAAATGAAGCAAGAATGGATGAAAACTGTGTAAGATTGGCTTATGCTGAGTTCCAAGTGGTAAAAGCAGAAAATAGAGTTTGGGCACAGTCGATAGTTCTGGCTTCGGCTGGCGACTTCCTAGCTCTTCTCCTTGGCACTGAGGCCAACATCACTGATCCCTCACCACACCCTGTCATGTGTCCACAGCAGAGTCCTCGCACCATGACCCCAACCACCCTCTAGCACTAGCGGTTGTAAAGGACAGTAACACTTATTTGCATTGATACGCTGCTAAACTGCCTGGGGCGGGAAGGACCCCTGATTTGTAACATTTACAGATTTCTGTGCTACCAACGGTCCCATGATACTGGTATTCCCACCATGGCTGAATACAGGTGCCAGTGGTTTGGCACAGGCCGCAAAACTCCTGAATGTTTAACACCATGTGAAGACAGACGCTGGCCCTAGCATACACCTTTGCTCATCACGGCCCCTGGCTTCGTTGGGCCAAGACACTATGTATATAGGGGGACAGCGCCATGCTGTGCAAGACCCTCAGCTGGGCCTTAGCCTGAAAGGAAAAGGAAGGAGGAGGAACAGCCTCTCCAGGAGAGGAACAGACTGCGCAAAGGAGTGGGCACGTGGCTGTCCAGTAGTAGGGAACGGCTGAGAGATGTTGGGGCTGGGGCTGGGTAAAGGCAACGAGAAAGCAGACGGGTTGCCTGGGGAACAGCTTGGAGCCCAGAGTTGCAGAATTTGTACTCTGACCCCTGAGGAACGAGGGATCTTAGACTAAGGTACTGTAGAGCTCAAAGCAACTTCAAGGTCATCTATGCAAGAATCTTATCTGGCCTCTGCTTAAGTACTTCCATTGAGAGCTCCCTGCCTCCCAGGGGAGCGGAGTCTTTTGATGAATAATCACACCGAGCCAGGCTATTTTTGTAAGTGTATGGGCCGTTAATATGTATGAGTGGAAAGTTTACTTCATGATGCTTTGAGGTCATGAGAAGTTTGGGCCCCAGGGAAACATATGTGACAGTTTCATTTGCTTGTAGCCCTCTTAGGACAGTTTCATCATAACCTGCCATGTCAAAGTTTACTTATTAAACATCGGAGACCGGGCGTCAATACAGATAGGCTGGGTCTAAATTAGTACCTACGCAGCCCGAGGAGTAACTCAGATCCTGCGATGTCTGATTTATCGCCCGCTGGCCTAATGAGTATTTTCCACATATAGATCTAATAGAGTTTGCTATTCATGGCAACTGCCCTGGTTAAGTCTCAAACCTTGTAAAAAATTGAACTGACACTTTCTAATGACCGGCTTTCCAGTGAGTTACAAATTACAGACACTGCTTATGCAGAATCATTAAACATAGATTAAATATAACCAGATGTTTTCTTTTCACCAGCCCCCCTTCTCGCCACCATGCTTCTCTCTGTCTCACTCTTGATTCAGCTAAGAAGTGGACCAATTAATGTATTAGACTGATCCCATTAGCAGCTCTGTGGGTGAATTTGTGGGCCTTGTGTATGTGAGAAAGACTTCAAAGGCAAGGCTGTCTCGTTAGAGAAGCATAGTTGGTTTGGAGGGTGGGAGTAGGTACAGCAGGTCGGGCAACCTGCTCCCCACAGAGAGCCAGGACTCTGATTTGGATGGGGTCCCCTAGTCCAGTGCCCCTCCCGCAGAGGCAGGAAAGAAGGCTAAGCAGGCAACCTGCTTTCAGGAAGCAGAAGCTTTCAGGCTACAAACAGGTGAGACGTGACCATCCTCCCAGCAACAGACCTGATCTGGAAGGAGCTAAGGCTTTTGCTAGAAAAAACACAGAGGCCCCAAATCAGCCAGCCTACCAGAGCTATTAACCACTGCCTTAGGCCAGTCGATGAGGGTTATCACCCCCATTTCAGAGACGGGGAAACAGACACTGAGAAGGGTGATAAGGTTTGTTCAAAGGTACTTACCTGGTAAGTGGCAGAACTTCCCCGCTTGGGTGACCTTGGACAAGTTACTTAACCGCTCAGTGCCTCAGTTTCCTCACCTGAGAAACAGAGTTAATAGTAGGGACAATAGTGATAAAAATATAATAGAGTATTATAAGGTTAATTGAACTAATACTTGTGAAGCACCTTGAACAGTGTCTGGTACACATAAATGTCATAGAAGTAGTTCGTTGAATTCCCAGTTAAGGTTTTGGAGTGGAGTACCCCATGTACCCCCTGGGCCCTTTATTATTTGTCCCAACCGCACTAAACATCACCAGGAAAGGCACAGAGCACAGAGAGCCTAAACAGCAGGTGCCCAGTCTGGTGGGGCAGGACTGCTAATACGAGCTAGTCTGGCATAAGGGCGAGGGTGCCAGCCCAAAGTTAGACACGGACCCTGGGGAAGGTGCTTCTCTTCAAGAATCAACACCTTCTTATGATCCTACATGTGACTCAGTCAACTGAAGTCTCAAGTGACTCAAGAAGTTCCTCTCCTGTAATAGGAATGCAAGGTAAGCCATCTTTGGAGATGCAGGGCCGGCTGGCACTGGGCTTTGAGGGGGAGCATGGTGAACTGAGAGGAGCTCAAAGGGACAGGACTCACAGATCCAAGCAGAACCCACTAGAAGGTTGCTGCTCCTGGGCCTATTCTGGATGCTTGGAACCTTTCCTCAGTGCTCACTGTATGCCAGGCACTATGCTGGGCCCTCACACAACAAAGAACAAGGAAACCGTGTTCCCTCCCCTCACAAAGCCTGCAGTCTAGAGGGGGATATTCCCAGCTTAGCCTTTTCTAGCAGAACTTGCAGTTCAGGTGGGGAGGAAGGAACCATCAGTTTATGTCCACACACTCGGCTGGCGTGCCTTGAGCACCTATTGCTTTTACAGGCATTGTAGGGAATGCAGCCCTGGCCTGAACAGGCTCACCATCCATCAGGACAGACTTGAAAATGATAGGCATGATTTCCTTCACACACTCAAAAAAAAGAAGATGCAGAAGCAGGCCATGGGGAGTGGTAGGATCATTCATGAAGGTCAGGACTCGGACTCCTTCTATCTCGTTCTGCCATTCTCAGCTCAGAGCTCCTGCCTCTGATGAAAGACAGGTTTGAGCTACAGTCATCTTATCCATAGTTCTTACCCATAATCCACATTATCTTTCAAGTAGAAGGAACTGGAAAATAAAGACACACATTTCCATCAGCAGGGTGATAACCAGCTATGCAGCAGCCCAAGCAATGAAGTCTTTATTCCAGCCGGCCATGTACCCAGCTACTTTTAAGGAGAATTGATATTGAAGGACTAGCAGTCTGCTCAGAGAGACCATGGTGGAGGTAACATTTATGAATATGGTCTTATAGACAGGGTAGGATTCCCATAGCTGGACATGAGGGTCAGAGAAATTCTGGAAGAGAATCGCGGGAGTGAAGGCATAGAAGTGTATTTGGAAACCGGTGCGTAGCCAGTGGCTCATGTCTGGGTGAGGAAGGTTGAGGATTGATCTGCAGACTCCATATTTTATTCTGGGACAATGAGGGGCCCCTGAGTATGTCTAAGCAGGGCACAGGAGTGCCAAGAGAGCTGTGCTTTAGAGAGCTCAAACTGTAGGAAGTGGAGGATGAATTGCAGGGAAAGTGAGAAGTAGGTGCTCAGTTAACAGCCTGGGTGAGGAGCCAACTCTTCCTCCCGGGCCCAAGGAGCAATTCCTCCAGGAAGGATTGGGACCAACCTCCTCCAAGTGACTCCAAGTGGAAACACCACGAGTGCTCAGTGGAATACAGTGCCTTGTGGACCCAGCAGGGCTCTCCTTGAGGGGTTTGAACTGAGACTTCAGGAGTAGAGAGAGGAAGCAGGTGGACAGGAATAGGCATTCAGGGCCAGTTCTCCGAAAGCGTGACTGCAGACAGACCTGCCACCTTACATTTGTCCCTCTCCTTCCAGCTTTAAACATTCTCCACCCTCATGGCAAAGGCATCAGTGAGGCTGCAAAGGTTGGTAATGGAAAGCAGCAGTGATGCAGGGAGCCCTGGACTGACTCGAGGTGGTATTTCCAGCCTCCCACTGCTCTCTGTGAGACCTAAGTCATGTGTTCCTACCTCTGTGGGTCCCCAGTCTCTTCTTGTCAAAGGGGATCATGAACGAAACATCCTGAAAAATGCAGCTGTGGGCACAAGAGAGAATTGTGTGCAAATAGACAAGGGTGATGAGGTGCTAAGCAGCTGGGCAATTCCCATCCAGATTTGTGACCCCCGGGTGGTCATGGGTGGTAGGCTGAGAAGTACAGAGGGAAATGCAGGTGCCAGGCTGTTATACGCCCACAGTGTGTGCTGGAGGGCACTTTGGGCAGGACTGTGCCCAGCTCTGCTCCTGTACCAACAACGGGACCTGCAGCCCCATCGATGGCTCCTGCCAGTGCTTTCCCGGATGGATCGGCAAGGACTGCTCACAGGGTAAGCTGCTGGGGATGCCTTCCACCTGGGGTCAAGCCCCAGAACACCCCTTCTCCTTACCTAGAACCTCTGTCCCTGGCACCTCCACTTTCCAGGGCTGAAATCTCCTGCAAATAGGAATGTCCACCTGAGTTCCATTGAGCTCCATAGCTAATATGATAAATTAATCATTGGCATTAACTGTTGGTGTGAAGGGTATTAAAGTTATTGCTAGCACCTCAGCACTGAGCATACCTCATCAGCACCTGGGCAAGGAGGTGACCCCTAATTTGGATGGGGAGGAAAAGGGGACAAGGACTGGTGTTCTAGAGTTTGGGAGTGGGGAAGTGAGTGAAGTCAGGACTGTCACCTCGGAGGGGTGAGGACATCTTCTGTGTGGCCCATTTGAATGACGTCCTGGGCTTCGCAACCCAGGCCAGGCCACGGTAGGGGCAAGGACTGCCCCTACAGTGTAAGGCACAACATCTCATGTAGAAGTAACTGGGAACCCCCCAATCTAAGGCAGAAGACTCCATTTGGGAGAGCCCCGTTGCCGATGGGTGAGATGTGGCCAGTACCCGCAGGGAGAGCCCAGCAGATGCCCTGGCCTGAGGAAACGTCCGTCTGCTGCAGCAGGCCCAGGGAGCCACCCGAGCGTCCCCGCCCTGGCAGAGTTCCCATCCTCACGGGGAAGTGGGCGCACACAGCCTTCACACCCCGAACCACAGTGCTGTTTTCCGCATATGCTCCCAGTCAGGCCCTGCGAGGTTTAGGGGCCCACAGAGTAGGCAGAGAATCTGGGTTAATGGGAATTCTGGGTGCCTGGGCCAAGATATGAGTGGAGTTCTGGGACCAGTTCAAGTGCCCTGGGAGCCAGGCAGTGCCACTGGGATGCATCGCGGCTGACGTGCACTCCTCCTGTCCCTCCCTTTCCTTCTGCTCCTCTGCCTTGCCCCCACCCTCTGCATCCCACCCATCCCCAGCTTGCCCACCTGGGTTCTGGGGCCCCGCCTGCTTCCACACATGCAGCTGCCACAACGGGGCTCGCTGCAGCGCTGAGGATGGGGCCTGCCACTGCACCCCAGGCTGGACTGGACTCTTCTGCACGCAGCGTAAGCCCCGCCTCCCAGCCTCCCGGCCTCCCGGCCATTCAGAATCCCATGCTGCAGCCTACTGGCTGCCGGGGGCATCGTCTGGGCTTGCAGCACAGGGAGGGAGGAGGCAGGCTCCAGGACTGGGATCCTCCCTGTATCCCCGCCCCAGGATTGGGGAGTTTGGTTGGATTCAGGGAGTCGATGGGCCCAAGGTCCTGGAAGATGAGGGCTAGGAGTTACCCCAGCAACCACCAAGACCGGACCCTCCTTGGACACTAGAGCCGAGTGGGGAGGGGTGGCCAGTGGCTTCACAGCAAGGGGACCCCCCAGCCTGGCCCCTGGCGCCAAGGCATCTTTGTCCAAAGGACTCCCCGCCCCTTCAGTATGAGTCCAGAGTGTGAAGACAGTTGGGCTTGGCTGTGGGTGTGTCACTGGTCCTCACCCAGGCTCAGAGAAAGTCGGTCTGGTCCCAGCTGCACCTCCGCGGTTGTCCCCACCCTGTTTCTCCAGGCTGTCCAGCAGCCTTCTATGGGCAGGACTGTGGGCGCGTGTGCCAGTGTCAGAATGGCGCCAGCTGTGACCACATCAGTGGCAAGTGCACCTGTCGCACAGGCTTCACGGGGCGACACTGTGAGCAGAGTAAGTTGTTCCAACCCATCCTGGGTGTCAGGCTTCAGCCTCCTGCATGGCAAGCCTGCCCCTTGAAGGCCCACTCATTCAGCGCTCTGCACCCCTGACTTTTGGAGCAACTCCCAAGGAAAAAGGCCATGCCTACATTGGCGTTTGACGTTTTCTCCAGTGATGTAACGACGAGGCAGACACCTGAGGAGGTAATGAGGGAGGCAGATCTTACTTGGTTCTTCTTTGAAGCACCCGCTCCGAGCCCGGCTCGTGTAGGGTGCTGTGTAAATGTGTTGCGAGAAGGAAGTAGGAGTGGATAGGGAGGGCCTGCTCTCTCCTCCTTTACCAGTATCCCCCAACTCAGGGCTGGAGGTGCTCTGCCTACCCCCAGGTGTCGTTACAGCACGAGAGGCTACAGGGAAAGTCTCGCTGGCTCAGCGCGAGGCAGTACTGGCTGATCTCACAACGGCCCACGTAGGGGATGGGAGGGCCGAGGAGGCGCATCTGTCTACCCCACTTCTTCTTGCTACACAGGATGTGCCCCAGGAACCTTTGGCTATGGGTGTCAGCAGCTCTGTGAATGCATGAACAATGCCACCTGTGACCACGTCACTGGCACCTGTTACTGCAGCACGGGATTCAAAGGAATCAGGTGTGACCAAGGTAACACACAGGTGGCAAGGTCCCGGGCAGCGGGCTGTGGAAAGGGTCCCATGGAGGCAAGGCCCAGGGAAATGCCAATAGAAACAACTGGGTTTACTAAGGATACTTGGTGACTTCTCTTCCCGTTTGGGAGGACAGCATGAGTGGAGTGGGCTGCAGAGGCTCTGGGTGGCCTCAGTCATGGCTTTCTAGGACTCATCCTGGACAAATTTCCTGGGAGCTAAAGGGTCACCACACAAACCAGTGCTGCCAAGGGGCCACCAGACCGAGTCGGAGGATAAGTCAGATCCTGGTCCTGCCATTACCTGCAAGGTGGTCTCGAGCAGTTCCTTTCTTTCAGCTAGGCCTGTTACTCCACAGGCGAGCAGGAGAGAGTATAACGCTTCTCTTCACCCACCACACAAGGTTCCACTAGGGCCAAGCAGCCCACAGGCACTCACCCTTGGCTCTGGCTCCACAGACCTGTGCACCCCACAGTGCAGTTGATGTGAGACGTCCGCACAGTGCCTGGCACCTATGTGAGCACTTGGTAAATGGTTTTATATACCAAAAAAAAAAAAAACCATTGTGAAGTGCTACATATATATAAGGAATTAGATTGTTGGCTCCAGGAGCTGGGGCTGAGAATGGGCCCTAATTATCCCCAGATAGAAAAAGGGCTAAAAGACATCGCCATTGCACTCTGACAACAGAATAATCAGCGTCTTCACCCACCTGGTGATGCTGGCTGGCTCTGCTCAGCCAGTTGCCAACAGTCAGGGAGGGGTCTTGAGGCTGCTGGGCCAGCAGAATGGGAGGGGGTTAGTCCCCAAAGGGGTTTGTGGGCAGTAATCCTGCTCACAGTTTTCACAGTCAGCTGTCCCCACGATACAAGTGAGCAGATGAAGGTGGTGATCAAGGAGCTGGGCTACCCAAGATTCTCCAGCTCCCGAGAGATCTAATTCTAATCACTGGTGGTATAATCTTGAACAAGTCACCAAATCTTTCGTGACTATTACCAAGAAAGAGGCTTATCTCATGATTGTTTAGAACCAAGAAAAAACACTCCGTAAGCATTGCTGGTTTCCCGTGCATGGTCACCTTTATTCCCGGTCATGATGCTGGCAGTCCCTACCCCTTAAGTCGAGAAACAGGCACGGCGGGGGCTGGGATCACACAGGAATCGAGTCAGGCCAAGACAGAACCAACGTGTGAGGACTGCAGGTCCCAGGCTCAGGCCCTCCCTCCACCCACAGCTGCCCTCATGATGGAGGAGCTGAATCCCTACACCAAGATCAGCCCAGCGCTGGGTGCAGAACGGCACTCGGTGGGTGCTGTCACAGGCATCGTCCTCCTGTTGTTCCTCATTGTGGTGCTGCTGGGCCTGTTCGCCTGGCGCCGGCGGCGGCAGAAAGGCAAGGGCCGCGACCTGGCTCCCCGTGCCTCCTACACGCCTGCGATGAGGATGACCAGCACTGACTACTCCCTCTCAGGTAAGGGCTACACCCCCACCCCCTCCCCAAGTATCGGCCTGTCTCCCCTCACACACATCCAACCCAGGAAGAGTCCCACAGAATCCTCAGACGCCAGGGTTTACTGCTGAAGGTGAATGGTCGTTCCTGTGGAGGTGGCTGCTGGGGCTAGATCCAGACTCTCCTAGAGATGCTGCGGGGAGAGCTTACCTGGGAAGGTAGATACGGTTCTGTGGGTGTCATTTCCTAGGCGCCCAGCTCTGAGCGGCTGTGGTTAGGAGCCTCCTTCCTTTCCCCAGTGTGTCCCATCTTTCTCCTCAGGCTTCAGCCACAGGAACACCCACACTCAGCAGTAACTCTCCTAAATGCTTCTAGGGAAATCCTTCCCAGTCTGATGCCTGTGCCAGCTGGGCCCTAGGACTCAGGCCCAGGCACTGTTCTATTTTCCTTCCTTGGTGAAAACTTCAGAGCAACTCTCCTCCCAGTTCCCAGGGTGAGGAGGGCCCACAGAGCAAAAGGGAATGGTGCCTGACTTAGAGAAGGTCTAAAAGTTTGGGTTCTTCCAGCCCTGGCCAAGGGGACATTGCCGAGTAGTCAGTGCACAAACGTGGTAACTCCAGTGGGCACTGGAGTCTGAGTGGGGAGGGCTGCTGGACAGAATCCTCCTCCCCTGAGCCTGGACGGCTGCCCTAGAAATAAAGCGCTTTACTTCCTATTTAAGCAGAAGAGGTCAAACTGCTTGGAAATGGCCCATAGCCCTGGCCCACAGGAGACTGGAGAGCGCCTGTGCTCGCCCACTGCAGCCTGCTCCAGAGCTCAGGGCTGACCTACAGCCTCCCGCACCTTGTGCTTAGAAAACCCAGATCAGTGCACTCCTGCTAAGTGTTGCCTACCATGTGTCCTGCCCATGCTAGGCGCTGAAGGACAGACAGGCAGCCCAGTTGCAGACCCTGCCAGTAGAGTTGTGGCCTGCATGCCACCCTGTATTTCTTTTCTGGTAAAACCCCAAGCCCACAAACATCTGGGGATTTTCTTCTTTTATGACTCCAATGAGCAAGGTTGGCTGGGTTTCCCCATGTCATTCCATTGGAATTCCCCAGCCCTAAGGAGAGTCTTGGAACCCACAAGAGGGAAACAGAGCCCCTTTATGGCCTGGCAACTGGGACCTGACCCAGGGGGAGGCAGGGGACTCTCAGCACAGTCCTGAGTAGTGACTTAGTGATCTGAGACTGTCAAAGCCAACATTTCTCATCCATGTGCCAGCTGATGGTGCCCCGACAGCGGCACGCCTAAGCTGCACACTGCAGGGAGGGCTGAAGCAAAGCAAGCTCTACAGATTGCTGTGGGGGTACTAGAAGGCAGGAAGCTTGGGGGATGGGGGAGTTGGCTGTCTCTGCAGAGCACTCAAGGCTGCCCAGTCCAAGCATTCATATTGGGATATTTCACGCCAAGGGCAGGGGTATGATGGTATGTGGCACCTTGTTCTCTTCCCAGATTTGTCTCAAAGTAGCAGCCATGCCCAGTGCTTTTCCAATTCCAGCTACCACGCACTGGCGTGCGGGGGGCCTGCCACCAGCCAGGTCAGCACTCTGGACAGGAACAGCCCCACCAAGGTACCGGGCCCCTGACTCCCTAGCCCACATGCACTATCTCCCATCAGCCCTCACCTCTAACCAGAAAGGAACTGCACCCCCAACTGGAGGTTCCATGTGGAACCAACTGTCAACAAATCAAGTGCAGCTTGATTCACGGAAGATACAGACACCCTGGGAAGCAGGAGACAGCAGTTTACACAGTGCCAACAAGTACCATGTAACCAATGATAGCATCACGCAATGTAAGGGTGTGTAACCAAACCATGTAGCACACATGGCCACGTAATTAACTTATGTACACAACACCATACCACCTACCATCATGAGTGCCATATATGACAAACACTGCAGTCAGCACATTAGAGAGGAATTACAGAGTGACCACTATTGCGCAGATCCTTGTGTCTACACCAGGTCCAGATGCCCTTGTACCCAGACACTCCATGTCATCCATACACCCCCCCCCACCACCACCACAACCATTTGTTACAATCAGAACCTACACAAGGGACATAAATCCAAACATCAGCCAGTCAGCGCAATGCAAAACTGAGTTCTGCAGGCCTTCCCCCGCCCCCAGCCTAAACCCTGGCTGACGGCAAGATGTCCTCCTACAGTTGCAGGTCCTTCGCAAGGATATCTTACCACATGAGTACTGAGTCCCCTGCTGTGCCAGGACCCCCTACTGGGCAGCGTGGGAGGTTTAGACATGAGAAAGAACAGACCAAGGACCACCACAGGCTCATGCCACACACCGCCTGACCCCCACCTACGCACGTGCATGTTTACACACCTGCGACCACTTGGGGCAATCCCCGGACTCTTTGCTTCCTGGAACATCCCTTCTGGGCCAGGAACATAGTTCTCATAGCCCAGGCCTTTGCCCTAGAAATCCTTTCTCCCTGTCTGCCCCTGGGCCGACAGTGCATTACTCTTGCCAGGGGTGTGCCCCATGGAGAATGCCCATCAGCCCCACACACAGCCTTTTAGCTTTAACCATTCTGTTTCTTCCTCAGCTTAGACCTTTATTCCCAGCTTCAAATCTAGGCTTTTCTGAAGCCGAGGGTTGAAAGCCGAGAGAAGGGAAGCTATAGTTTCCCTGCAGGAGGCCCTAGATTAACTAGAGTCATATTAGCAAGTCTACAGCAGCTTAGCAGCAAAAGCCTCATGTGGCCTTGTCTTTCTTGATCTCATCCTACTGAGGAAGCACCCGCTTTCTCTTTCAGTAGGGGCTGGAGTTCCTGTAGAGCAGCCCACGTGTGACTCACCTCTCGCATGGTCAAGGACCCCTGGCAGGGCACCTGTAGCAGAGGCAGGCGGCTGTGATGCCATGGAAAGGACAGGGACCTGGAAGCGGAGATCTGAGTGGGAAACCCAGCTCTGCCCCTTCCACTGTGTGACCCTCATCAGGGCTGAGAGGCCAGACTCAGGGCCCCGTCTGTGGAAAGAGGACAACCATCCTTCCCTCATGAAAGGCAGCTATGAAAATACAGACACAGAGAGATTGCACCATAAGGACCCACACTCTGACGCGCTCTCTTGATCCCATGGAAGAGGAGCTCCCGCGCTCAGGGCAGGCGGCAGCGGAGAGAGTGATGCTGTAGGCGGCCCCAGGACTTGCCCTTGTGCCGCCGAGGGCGTCAGGGTGCAGCGCCACCCTGCTCATCCGGTCAGGCGCAGCGTGGGAGGCCCCTGGCCCAAAGGGCCTGGAAACCCCACTTCCGCCAGGTGGCTTAGACAGACTCAGCGCTGCCACGGCGCCTGGGAGCAAAGGCCGTGCGCTCCCTTTCCCTGCTGCGGTGGGACAGATGGGTCAGGATCGTCCCAGGGGTGTGTCCGTGAGGCTGGACAAAGCGACAGCTTGGGGGTACGAGGTATTAACTTGCTCTCCTACTCTCCAAACAGCTCAGTAACAAGTCCCTTGACAGAGACACCACAGGCTGGACCCCCTACAGCTATGTGAACGTGTTAGGTCAGTAGTGGTTTGAGTCCGGCCCCCCTACTCCCCAATATGGCCCACCCTATTGTCCTTCCACATTGAGAGGGGCCTTGTCCCAGCTCCAGAGGAGGGTAGTAGATGGCCACCCCCAGGGGAACGGGGTGTGGGGAGGGAACCCAACTCCCTGTTTCAATTTCCAGGTAGATACAGCCCAGAGCCACCTTCCTTCCTCTATTAGAGGCCTGGTGGAACGTGGCTGTGAGCCAGGGACCACAAAGGAGACAGAGCCTGGATATGTGGATTCCAGGTGGAGGCAAAAGATGCACAGCCATCTGGGAAAAGGACCCGCCCCCGACCCAGGCCCTACCAGGAAGCCTCCTGTTAAGGGCTGTCTTTCTACAGGGGTAGGGGGAGGTTAAGGGAAAGCAAGGCAGAGAGCCTCTGCTCTAGCCAACCCCCTGGCCTTAGTGTCCCTTTGGATGCTACACGTAGAAAGTCTTAATTCCTTCCACCCTGACCCTCGTGCACCCCCTCCCCTGCCAAATCAGGGCCCTGGGAATAATGGCTCCTCCCTGTCATTCCTCTCACTAGACTCCCATTTCCAGATCAGTGCCCTGGAGGCCAGGTACCCGCCCGAGGACTTCTACATTGAACTTAGACACCTCAGCAGCCCCGCTGAGCCACATTCACCAGGTTAGACCCTGCCCCCCTTCCTGCCCCATGACCCCACAACTCTGCCTATTGAGCCTCTCTCCCTCCCAATATTATTCTACAAGCCCAATCCTCTACCTACAGAAAGAAAACCATCTGGATCCCTCCCATCAGTCCCCCGCTCCTGTCATGGCCAATGGATGTGGATAAACTCCAATTAGTATTACGTTAAGGGGACAACATAATTACTTTCCCTACAGGTCACAGAAGATAACCTCAAACCATCAAGAAATGACTTGGGGGTGGCAATACCTTTAGGGTTCTCCAGCCAAAAAGCCCGGTATCTTCCAGAGAGATGCCAGGCCACTCTCCCCCAGATAATACGGTCAGGGATCTGGAGAGGCTGGGGCAGATGTCAATGAACATCCTTTGTGCTCATCCTCAGCCTCAAACCTGGTGGCCTGGGAGAGATGCAAAAGACTTGGAATGACATCCTGCTCTGGGAGGATGTGGGCAGAAGTAGGGACCCTCCACCTAAGTGCAGTGACTTAAGGGGGAAATGAAACCCTACCAATCCCTGCAGGTGCCTGGGTCTAGTAGCCCTGAGAGTGAAGGTTCTGAATGTATCTGCCCGTTGAGCTGGCCTGGAACTATACCAAGGAGGCTGTGCTCCTTAGCTATGGGTCCCCTGGGTAGTGGTCACAAAACCACTCCAAATCTCACCACAGGAGCATCCTCTGGGCACAGTCCAAATTTTCCCTTCTTTGCAGATCTCACTCTTCAGAGCCACCACATAGTCATGTCTTAACTAAGACTTAAAGCAGCCTGTGGCCAAAGGGAGAGGACACTGGGAGGCATCTGAACTCTTGCTGCAATTCAACTTCTCATTTGTTGGTGTGGTCACAGACTAGCCACTGCCCCTCTTTCCTCTTCTATAAGAAGGGAAAAAGTTCTAACAGTTTGTCATCCCTCCTTCAGGGAAGGTAAAGGAAGATTCTTTCTGATAAAAAGTGCTGAACTGATGCCAGCGATAGATTATTGCAGTCCTGTTTCTGAAGGCCACATGTACCCAGAGGAGCTTAGAAGAATAGCGAATTTGAGAAAACCTTGTACCTGGTGCTACCCTGTCACTCAGTGATGTGTGGAGTAAACACTTTGCAAATTCAGCTGGGAACTCTGAAATACCTGAACAGTAAAGGGTTGCCTTCAGTGATTCTCTTCAGGGGAGAATCCAGCAGAGCGAAACAGTAGGCACTTGTTGCATGCTTTGCCTAGTATTGTATCCTCGGTCAAAAGCTGAAGATAACCTCAAACCATCAAGAAATGACTTGGGGGTGGCAATACCTTTAGGGTTCTCCAGCCAAAAAGCCCGGTATCTTCCAGAGAGATGCCAGGCCACTCTCCCCCAGATAATACCTTAGACTTGGCCAGAGTCCTTGTTGTCCCAACTGTAAAACGCCAGACAATTTCTTTTCTGGGCTCACCAGCAGCAAAGAACCTGAGCTTGGTCGCTGATGCTCCATGGCTTGCCTCTGGCTGTGCTGTGGGAACCCAGGGTAAACTGTGACAACCTTATGGGAGCAAAATCCTTGGCACTGAAAACCCTGGTACAATTTTTCAAAGACGACAACTAAATTATGTGCAATAATTTAGTTCAGAAAACTGACTGTGGGAATGACTGTACATCCTATAAAGATGAGTAATCAAGAACCTCAGCCACCTATTCACCTTTCTGACTCCTCTTAAACAAGCTTCTGATCCAGAAGAGGCAGGACTAGACCTGAGGAGAAATAGTCTACCACTGTTCTGAAATCCAACAGAAGTGGGATTTGAAATATCACACACTCTTACCCAAGCTAAGAACTGGTTCTGATTCATTCTCCATCCTATACTTTTGGAGTGTGGCACTTCACCTGCAATGATTACAAAGGCATCAAAAGTGCCTTTGATCACCTAGGGGCAGACCTTCCCTTCATGAATGTGACGGTTAAAGCAGAGGAGGAGCGCCAATGGCAGGGGGTGCTGCCGCTCATTGTGAATGCTTATGAGCCTTTTAAGAATCCCGTATGGTCAAAATGATTTAAAGTAAACTCTAAACAGAGTTATTTCCTAGCACTAAGAGCTTTGTTTTCTGGATGGGGGGGGGGGGGAATGAAGCAAGGACACATGTAGTCTAAGTACAACCTCAATCACCCCCCATGTTTTTCTTTCTTTGTATTATTTCTCTGCAGGTACTTGTGGAATGGATAGACGTCAGAACACATACATTATGGACAAAGGCTTCAAAGGTAGAGTATCCAATCCTGACGTCCCATTAGAAAGGGCTTAGCAAGATAAAGAGTACAGATCTGAAATGGCCAGGAATTCTACCAGAGAGAAACTGCGCATCTCTTCCCCTACTCCCCCCAAAAAGTTAAAAGACCACAGGACCTGGGGCTGCTGGGTAGCTCTGCCCAGGAGGAGCAATCATAATAATGAATTCATCTTTCGATTTCAGTTGCACCTGCTTAGCAAATGCTTGTGGGTTTTTTATAGATGCCAACTAAATGTCTTCGGAAATGTAGAACTTCATTATCCAACCAATTAGTATGAGTTAAATTGATTATAAAATCGAAATAAAGTCAATCTACCTGCCCCAGAGGCCTCCTGTCGTTGCACTGGCAAGGAACACCACCCTGCACCTGCTGGCTTTCTGGAGCACGAGGAATGAAAATGATGCCAAGTGTTAATACTGCATGGCACTCCACCCACAAGAGTGGGGAAACTAGAACTGACCCCTAACACAAGGGAAATGCAAAGCAGATCATTCTTCTAGAAGGCTGCAGATGAAGTGAAAGGTCAGGTCCTGCCTTGGTCTTAGCCCCTCGGGTTAAATGACATAATGGCAACATACATAACTTGGAACTATGTCACTTATTCCTCTGTCACTGATTAACTGTGAACTCCCCAAGGCAGTTTCCTCTCTAGCAAGATTGGGATAATTATGCCTGTCCTTTTGTCTAACAAGGTTATCGTGAATATCCAATCTAAATCACAATGGAGAAGTGTTTTTGCCTATTATAAAGGGTTGTTACTAATGTAATAGGGGTGTCCTGTCTTTAAGGTGTACTTAGGAGTGTCTACCAAACTTAAGGAGCTATGACTGACAGCAAAGATCCCAATGGATATCCTAAACCTACCTGTACACCAGAATCACTTGAAAAGCTTGTTAAAAATACAGAAGTTCACACCACATCTCCCCAAGGTTCTGACATAATAGATTTAGAATGGGGCCCTGGAATCTACAGTTGTGATGAGCAGCCAACTAACACTTAGAAAAGCACTGGTCTAGGTCTTTCAGGTTTAGCCTTAAATACATCCAAGACAATTATTTTCTAACAGAGGTAATCGCTGACATCCCTTGGCAGAGTGGTTATTAGAACTGGGGTGAGCTGGGGCAGGTGATGTCAGTACTGTGAGTGAGAGAACAGGAAGGCAAGTACATGGCCCAAGAGGACAATCTGAAGACAGGCCCCTGGCCAACAAACAGCACTACTCCCTGGAGAGCACCACTGTGGTGATTTTCTGTGAGCTGAGATTTAAACCATCCAAATGAAGGCAAGTGCTATTACAGTTGGCAACACTACAAACAGAAAAGGTAACTCTGCTTTCACTGGGACCTGGGACCTCAGTTTCTTCTCAAAGGTCAAAGCAGCATGGGGATGGAGCACACATCTCTCTAATGACACTGCCAGCTCTGAGAATAGGTATGACTCAAGTGTGAAGCAGCTCAGACAGGTCCAGACACCGCAATTAGTGAGCACACAACTTTCCTATGCACCTGGTTGTCTTGTGCATTGTGATGAGGGTAGCTCCTTCCAAACTTGCAACCATAAATGTAAAACAGAGCTAAGGAGACTTTTACAGATAGTGTCTGCCTCAGCGTCATTCATTCCTGTTTTATGGGATCATATATCTGAGTCTAAGTTTAACAGGCAAGCAGCCAAGTTTTGTTTCAGGCGATACTCATCCCTTAAGTTAGGGAGAAATGAGGGTTGCACAGACAAATGTATTAGTAGGTGTTGGGAGTCAACATATCAGAACAAGAGAATTCAAAAACAGGAATGTCCCAGTTCAGAACTTTACAGAAATACTTATTAATGACATGAGATAAGCTTCCACTAATTGGCTGAACTCCCAAACTTCTTTGTAACAGGAATTAAATTACTTCCTAAAACTACTGAGCCAAATCGAATTGGAACACAAAGAGTTAAGAGTCCTCTGCACTCCACAGGAAAGAGTACTGATCGAGATACAGGTTCCAGCCTCCTTCTTGCTAGAAGGCTGTATGTGATCACAGATCACAGCGGTGTTCTGGGTTCTTCCTCTCTTGGGAGGACAGGGTTGTTCTAGCACCATCCCTGAAAGTCTTCCTTTAATTCAGTCATCTTGGAAATTATAGACCACCACTCACACTGCTGTGCTAAATCCATTTTACCTCTAAACACTTTTTGCCCGCCACCCCGCCACACCCCCCCCCCCACCCTTACACAGTGATTCTGTAACAAACTGCCTCTTATTCAATTCCTTGTCTGTCAGGCATTTCAAGATGCTCTAGAAGAAATCCTCCCCATTACTCGCCATCACCTTTATGATCCTGAAGTCCTGGACACCACTGTTGCTGCCACTTCCCCCCTTCCCCAATCCATACTCCTTGTTAGCCCAGGCTCCAAGCCACCCCTTGCAGTAACTGAGTCCTAAGTAGTGAAGGGCCTACTTCTATCCTGAAAACATTTTTTCCCCCAGTCAGTGTGGTTTTCCTTCTGACCCTGAGATCTCCCCTTTCCTTTCCCTATTGCCTTGTCTCTCAATCAAGAAAAGGATGCTAACTAAGGACCCACGAAGAGAAAAGGCAGAGTGGCCTTCTAAAAATAGTGATGGGCCAAAAGGCCAGAGATGGATGTTCAGTGCTTGGGTTTTCTTCAACAGTTAAATATTGGCCATAAGTAGATGTTAATGTGAACCTAAAAGTCTGAGACTCACAAGGTTATAGCCGTGAAAAGCCATTTGCCCTCTAGATTTTCTCTTTTCTGTGTCCAATGACAGTGCTTAGAATAACTCATTTCAGAGGCTCCTTCTGCTTCTAATACATGGGTGTGTGTTATTTTGGAGCGGTAAGAACTAGATGAGAGCAAACGCCAGGGCATTATAGGGCTATGCTGCCTGCATGGATGCTAATTACAGGGCTTGGAAGAGTGACTCCCTAGAGTGGTAGGCTGAAGCTTCCCTTTTCTCTGCAGAATGCCCTGAAGTGCAGGGACTGGTCAAAGGGTGGGAGGAGGAAATATCTTAGAGTCCCTGGTTATTTTTCCCCTTAACTCCTCCCTCTCAGCAGGCAGGTGGATGACTCAGCTGGAGAAAAGAGTAGCTTCCTGAAGCAGAAATCTCCAGCCAGCCTTGCCCTTCCCCACCCTTCAGTTCCGAGTAGAAACAGGATTCAGATGATTCCATATTTCAAAACCCTCCACCACAACTCACACCCCCCATCCTTTACCTCTGGTTCCTTTATGGAAATTACAGCTTCTCCCTGAGACTAATCCCGCCCCACCACCCCCAACTTCTCTTATCCACTTAGTGTAGCCCATGCTGCAGAGCAAACAATTTATCCCCCAAAACTTTAAAGCAGACTCTTGGTGGAAATGAAAAGAGGGGCACCATTGGCTGCCTGAGGCTCATTTAGAGGTTGAGCTAGAGCTTCAAGACTCTCCCATTGTAGCATCTGAATCACTCACCAGATAGGCACAAAAGGCTTAGAGCTCAGCCTTTCTCTGCAGGGCTTGGCCCCACAGATAAAAAGTATTTCTTGGTGAAGGTAAAGTGCGGCTGTTGCAGATATAGCTTACACTTAGAGATACACAACAGGAGCATGGGTAACAAGGTGTGAGGAAAAAACATTCTGATTGGGTGTCAAGAGAAAATAGGGAGAGTCCTAACCTGACTACTTGCTACTCTTTTTAAAGATTTATTTATTCTAGCACTGGGTACAGTCAGAAGCGCGGAAGGGTGAGAGAATTCACCAGAGCCAGAGTGGGGAGCAGAGCAGGCAGACCGACGAAATGCACTGCGGGGATCAAACTGGCGCTGCAGAGGCTGTGGACAGCTTTGCAGCCCAGCGCTCAAGTGCCATGTGGTAGCGTCCCCTCCCCGGGGGCCGGAGATCGGCCGGGAGGGATCCCCCGGCCGGGCGAGCTGGCGCTGCAGGGGCTGCGGGCGGTTGCGCAGCCCAGCACTCAGGCGCCATGTGGGACCCTCGCCGGTGGCCGGGGATCGAACCCGCGCTGCGGAAGCTGCAGGCAGCTTCGCAGCCCAGCGCTCAACCGCTGCGCCACCTGGGGAGGCTCCCTCCTTGCTGCTCTTAAGGAAACATTTATGAGCTGTGGTGTCCTCCTTACTGAAATAGTAGTAATAGTCCTTCCTGCTCAGCCCCCTTCACAGGTGTAACAAGTTTCAAATGACCTATCTGCAGTAAAGACTAGCTGTAAGCACTACACAGTAAGCCATTATCTGTTCCTGGAGTTTTAGAAAATATGCACCTGGGGCTGCTCCCAATCAAGTAGAAGAAGGGGCTGATGGGGAGGAGAGGAAAAATGTTAGGACATATCACTCCAGAGATAGCCCTTCCTTCATTCAAGCACACAGCTCTGAGCCACGGTGTCTTACTCCTTAATTGGTGAGTTCAGTGCAAAGTGGGACTGATGGGCCATATTAGGGCTGCTGGACCCCACTGCCCTGTACTAAGAAACAGCAGGCAGTTGACTCTTGAATACAGGGGTTTGGGGAACCCTGACTGGGCCAGTCCAAAATCCAAGCATATAATTTATAGTTGTGAACAGAGAACCCACAGAAAATAATCCACATGTAAGTGAACCTGCACAGCCCAAACCTATAATGGGTGATCTGGGTGATCACCCTATAATGGGTTCAAGGGTGATCTGTACTCACTCAAGGCTCATGTATGTGGCTCAGGACAGGTCTTACCTAGGACCCACAGCTCTCTTCCTACAAGAGCCTCTCCAAGAGTTGGGCCTATCCAGGCTACCTTTAGTCATTGCTGGGGCTGGCTGGGACTGCTAATTGTCTAGCAAGACTGTTTCCTCCTCCTCCTCTCTAGGGTCCTATGATACAAAGAGGCCACATTCTAAAACAGTCAAGGTCAATTTCTCTACTTCTGGGGCTTGTGAGGCAAAGTGCTCTGAGCCTGGTTCTAGAGCTTGCTCTGCTACTGATAAGCAGTGTGACCCCAGAGAAGACACTTCCCCACTCTAAGCCTCAATTTCCTCATAAGCAATACAGGGGAAGAGCAATACAGGGTGGGTGGATACAGTGTTCTACCTATATATCATAGAGCACTGTGAATATTTAAAGGAACTAATGGGTAAATATTTTTTGTATAAGATTATTTCAGCTTTTAATAACCCTACGCTAACAAAAAAGTAAATTCCCTCCCAACTAGTTACCTATTATGGGACTATAAGACATATTTCAGCTGCCTCATCTATGGGCAGTGTTTCACTCTCACTGGAACAAGGTATGGCTAAGTTATCCTTTCGGTTATATGATCACTTCAGGTTTTTTACATTTTCACTTTGGCTTACAACTTGGAGGCAGAACGCATAAATACCAGCCCCAAATGCAATGTGTGGTAGTTCTAGTGAAAGATCATCTAAGAATTTCTCCATCTGCTATACTTGAAGAAATTTAGAGCTGAGAGGCCTCTTGGATCACTCTTGACTATTCATGTCCTGCAGCTCAGTGCATGTTTCTAGATCCCTGGCTGGCAGAGTCTCACAGAAGGTTGAGGGTCAGAGATGCCAGACTAGAAAGAGTCTACTGTCTTTCCCAGGCAAGTCCACTTCACCCGAGGTAATAGACAGGAGTGCTCTTCCTCCAAAGGGGAATGGCACAGAAATGAAAGAAAGGCTCCCCTAACCTGTGACTCCATGTCACCAAGAGACTTTCTTCCACCAGTGAAGCTAGCTACCTACCTTTGTATTTAGAAACTAACTTGTGTCCTTTTGTACCCAAATATACCCAGATGTCTTGGGGCTGATGTAACTGAGAGGCAGTAGGGAAGAAAGCATGAGTTCTCCCAGTATCAGAGAAAGCTATGCTAAAGTAGTTTTCGGTTTTAGATTTCACTAGAATTTACAAGAACTGAGATAAGCAACCCAAGAGGATACATTTCAGGCTTGCTAGAAAACAGGAACTTTCCAAAGACACGCAAAGACCAAGTGCTTCCTACACTCTACACTTCAGTCAGCCCCACTCTGCTCACTAGCTTTCCAAGCAGGGATACCACCAGGATTTGCTGCCTATAGGTTACCAAATTAATGTGTCAAAAAGACACTTATTTCTGAACCTAAGCTTTTTAGTCATCAGAAAGAATTCAGAAGGATATCACAGAAAACACACAGGCCACAGAGTGGCAAGGCACAGCTTCAAGTCTTGGCTCTTAAAACTCAAGTTTTATAAGCTGCGTAACTTCATCTCTCTGCCCCCTCATCCCATAAAATACAAATTATCAGCTAGCCTTGCAAGATTTTGTAGGCATTTTTAAATAATAGATGTAAAAACATACTATAAATATCTTCACTTCATGCTTTTCTGATGCTGTACCCGACTACTAGAAGCAAAAATATCCCCAGCCCTCTGAAAACATACTTTTCTTTAGAAGAACCCTTCCTATCTAGGAAGGCGCTCCTCAACGCATTTAGTAAGTCTCGTATTATCATAGGTTTTTTACACTCCAGAATCATGAAAGGCACATAAGCTCAACTGCAGCCTGCTTCTGGTATTTGAAATTTCATGTCCGTGTTTGTCCTAAGAAATCTCTCTTGCTTTTCAGATTACATGAAAGAATCCGCGTGCAGTTCTAGCACTTGTTCCTTGAATAGCAGTGAAAACCCTTATGCCACAATTAAGGACCCTCCCATCCTCACCTGCAAGCTTCCAGAAAGCAGCTATGTAGAAATGAAGTCGCCTGTGCACAGGGGGTCTCCGTACACAGATGTGCCATCCTTGTCGACATCTAATAAAAATATATATGAAGTTGGTAGGTGTCTCAAATAAGTAACTTAGTGAAATCAGGGCATTAGTGCAGTATCTGAAGTAAAAACAAGCCTGCCCAACTCACCCTGTCTTGAAAACACACCCTTCTTTTGTTGCTTTAAGAAATTTTCAAGGTGAACTGCCTTTCCCAGGACTGCCCTCCTTTCTCATGCAGGAAATCAAATTCTTGTGCCAACTCTGCTTTAAAACAAACAAACAAAAAAAAAAAACACCAAGACTAGGATGAAGCAGAAATACTGGGGGTAGGCAGTGGGTTCAAACACACATATACTTCAACTGATTACTGATACAAATTCCACTTTAAAAAAATCAGAACAGATATTTGCAAATTTCTAGAACACCATCTTTTACCTTCTCCCAGTTTAACCTCTGTTCCTGGGCTCGGTGATAACACCCTTACCCCAGGAAATTCCATCTGCTATGAAAGCCCCGATTATGCCCCTCATATATTTGTCATAGATTTTTAAGTCCTTGACTTCTTTCCCCACCAAGTTAAATAGAACCCCCTCCCATCCCCACCCCGGCAACCAAAGCTAATCTGTTCTCTGAACTCATTTTTCACTATATTCCTTAGAGCCCACAGTCAGCGTGGTCCAAGAAGGCCGCGGCCATAACTCCAGCTATATTCAGAATGCATACGACCTACCTAGGAACAGCCATATTCCTGGTCACTATGACCTCCTCCCAGTAAGACAAAGCTCTGCCAATGGCCCCTCCAGGACAAGCAGTCTTAGCAAGATAAGCTTCTCTCTTACAATGTGCTCCGCTGAATATTCTCTGACTCTCTTTAAGAAGACAATCTCTTGACTTGAAATCTTGGTACAGACTGACTACAACTGCATGTTAGTTATGATGTTCACCTGGAACTAAAGAAGCGCTTCCAAGTGGGACTGGGGTAATTGTTCAAGAAGTCTGTTCACAAAGGCAAATCCTGCCATCAACACCCCCAATGCCCCAAATGCCCTGGATTACGATTTTTTAAAATATTTAAGATACAGCTACTCATCAAACATCAGCTAAATATAGTTAGGTATATATTTATATATTTAATTATCTGAAACTTGATGCCTAGAAAGCATGTAGAATAGGTTTTACAAACCTTGCTGGAGGGAGGGATGGGGAGGGGCGAGTACTTTAAAGCACCTGAAATGTATATATGTACTTTTGTTTGCTGTTATCATCAACATCTGTTTTACTACCCAGGATAATTACTACATAGACACAAACTTGGCTAATATCAATCGTATAGTACCTGTACATATGTCTGGTCCATCAAATTACAACAGCCAAGATTTCACAATTTAGTAGACTGTTTAATGCCAACAAACTTCAATTTTTTTAAATAAGACTGACAAATACAAAATAACTACCTCTTTTGCCCCCTAAGTGGTAGTAAGGCCAAAAAAACAAAAAAACTAAAAGTTTCCAAATTGCAGCAGCTTCTTTCAGTTTACAACAGTGATTTCTAAGCCAACTGTATCAAATCTTGCCAGTTCAAAATTCAGAACATTAAAAAGTCAGTCCTGGCCTGCTCTTATCTTAGTTCAGCCAATACTACGTGAAATAGAACTCTGAAATGCTGCTTCAAGCAATTATAGACTAGTAAGAATTAAGTACCCCAAAAAAAGGCTATTTGGCCTCCTGATTTTATTTGATTGGCATTTCTTGACTCAGAAGAGTACTTGCTTTTAATCATTTCTTCATAAATCTTGAGCCTGATGTAATATGGAACCTGAAAGTATAGAGGAAATTAGACAAAAGTGGATGTAGCAAGTTAAGTTACTTAATGTACATTACGCTCTTTGATAGAACTAAATGAGATGATTAAAGAAATGGACTCTAATCAGTTGCTGTAACATGATGTAAAAACTTTATATTAAAACCACCACCTAATGAGGGCCAAAAAGGTGAAACAATGAGCTGATGCTCCAGTTCCCAGTACTCAGATGTCTCTACCTTCCACTACTAATCAACATAGGTAAACTGGAACTCAGGTGAGTCAAAACTGAACTCCCAAATCCTAAAAGAGATCTTACAATAAAGACCAAAAGGGCAAACCAAGGAAAGGGATAGTCACTCCTATAACACTTCATTCTCTGTTAAAAGTCCAAATAGTAACAAATACTTTTTACAAGGAGTACAGAAAAGGAACTAAATGATTGCAAAGCGGGAAAGGCTGCTACATGAAACGTGAGGTTCTGAAGCCCTTGACACAAATCTTAAGTCTGCCTTGAAACCTATTACTTTGGACAAGAACCAGCAAGTACACGAAAATAAATGAGTAAATCCTGTCCCACTTCACTCAAGGCTTAAGCAAATTTCATTTTAGGGAAAAATATATAATATTTACATGAATGCTGCATGTGTGCATGGGAGCAAGTGATCAGCAATAGCAAATTTACTTTCCAAAAAGCCTTATTAAAATATAAACACTAGAAAGTTACTTTGTAGACCCAAATAAATAATTCTCATACATATGTAGGAAGAAATATAGGTAAGAGACTTACCTCAGTTTTCAGAGCAGGAAGTGCTCAATTACCTTTGTGAAGCAAGGATTAAGAAGCATGGCGAAGTCAGATCAGCAAGAAACTTTATCTCAACCCCACGTTTTATCTTCTTCCCTTACCCTGCATGCGCAATAAATCGCTGCCTGGCAAACTGCAAACAAGTAGTATCACTCAAATTTTACCTCTTTTGTCAACTATCTTCTGGGCAAGAGGTGGTAGAGCGGAATTGGGAAAGCACTGGGGCAAAAGATTGTGCTACTTGCCCTCTCTGGGCTCCTTTTGGCCCCATGTATGGGGAAAAAAAGCAGCAGGGTAGGGGAGCTGTAACAATCCCTCCGCTCTACCATTCAAGGAAAAGGGAAAGGCAGAGGGTGTGATTAATCTATGGTGACAAGAGCTGCCTTCACATATCTAACAGTTACTGGTAAAGATTTTTTGATCTTACAGAGCTACTGTTAGAAACTTCTGTCTAGCACTGTCACACATAGGTTCATGGTCAACCTAAATACGTGTACTGTGCATTTTATTGGCAACTTGAAAAGATCTGTTCCATTTTACAGAAACTAAATTTTCACTCAAATAAACTGATATGCCTACGACTCAAATGAAAAAAGAAAAGTCATTCGTGTACAGTGGCATAAATGAGACTACGAAATGGCAATACTTTTTTAAGCAACCCAGATTTGTAATATATTTGTTCACTGTGCAGAAGGATCATACCTTGTACAAAAATAAAATGATTTTTCTCTAACTTAATCAGAATGCCCACTTTTGTGTTACAAACTGAAAACATGTCCATAATTATACACCTTAGGTTTAGCAGTAAAACCATCCTACATTTTGTGTGGTCACTTTACACAGTCAGAAAAATACAAATTATCCCAACAGTTGTCTGAAAATAAAGTGAAAAATGTCTATCAAATTTAAAACAAGGAAATCTCTTTCCTGGTTTTGAGTAATCAATGGGAGGCAACACATTCTTCATGTCCAAAAATTATTGAAGAATCACATATACCCAGTATATTCAAAATAGAGCATTTCTCTGTTTTCACAAAGATTTGGACTCAAAGACAACTATCACAGCTTGTGCTCAGTTCCAGAGGCACAAAGGTACTTCTATGGACTGGAATAAAAGCAAGTGGAAAGGGCGCCTAATTTGCATAAACGCAATGAATAGCTTTCTACCAGTAGAAGTCATCACCCAATACAATACTCGGGTGCATCTGTTGTAGGATGTTTAAAACATAATATTGTAAACCTAACTGGTAAAGCACAAGAATTAATTTTATAATAAAGAACAGATGCTAAAAAAATTACTTACTGAATGCACTCAAATGGTAAAAATTTAAAATTTGTCTATACTTTAAAAGGTTTGTCTCAAATCCTCATTTTTAAGTCAAACTAAATATGCTTTCACAATTTGTGAGTTCACAAGGCTTACATGAAATAAGTTGTTATTTCCATTTAATAAAATAATCAAAATAATACCTTTTCTCTAAAGATTATGACTCATTCAGAAAACAACTTATTGACAATTCTCAAGGGCCTGAGCTTGACAATCTGTTCAAGACAAAACAATTAAGAACTACAAGACTAAAAAGGTATTTACTGAAAGTAACAATGTTAAGATTATGATTTGCGAAGCTCAGAGTACTACCCAATACCACAAATGGTAACCAAAGGCTGCAGGTTGTTGTACGCTCAGTAGCTGTAGGTTGTACACTCAGTAGCTGTAGGTTGTACACTCGTTACAGAAGAATCAAGAATGATACATTCTATTAGTCATTCATCTAACAGAGGGAAAACAGAAGAGACCGTTTAATCAGTACACGACAGCAACAGGAGATGGGAAATCTTCCTCAGAGGGGGAGGATGGTACATATATTATTTAGTATATCATTATACTATTTAGCATACTATACTATTAGTATTTATATTTATGTATTGTAATTATAAATATACCTATAATACAATAATTTTATGTCACCTTTTAAAAATTTCCAACCTGAATGGCAATTCTCAGACCAGTTTCCCTAAATTACACAAAGTGAACAATTAAAGTGAAAAATTAGCCCCCTTACTCCTTATGTCTTTTATTTTTCTGACATGAGGAATTGTTAATTATTTCTAGGTGGGTAGTATTAGAATGTAAACATGAACAAAGCACATTTCCTGCCCTTGTGATTTTATAATGCAGTGATTACCAAGGGCAGACACAGAGGTCGATGGTGATTAGCAGCGTTTTAGTGATTATACATTTTCTTCCCTGGCATGCAGAGCTAGAAAGACTGAACAGTGATCTAATCCAAATCCACGGAAGAGAGCAGCTCTTGTCTGTAGCTACAGTTGTCAGGTTCTTTTCTCATTCCAGATTCTGTCTCCCAAGCCATTTTTAGCTCCCCCCAGAGCCATGGGTTAGGGTAAGAGAAGTCATGGGGATGAGAAACTTAATATATACGCCTCTGTAGGCATCCATTTTAATAAAAACCAAAACTGAGAATCCCTAACCTCCTCCTCAGAGTTAGTTTCACATCAAAGGCAGGCTACAGAAAGTGCTGCTTGCTTCCTGGGGCTTCCCAGATTGTCACATTTCAGGTAAGACCTTGTATAATATCCTTAGGTTCACATGACAAGAGCGGTGGCAGAAAGACTAGCACAATAGTCGTACCTTCTTGAATTTAAGATAGTGACCCAGACCATTTACCCAGAAATATCTGAGAAAATGGTATGCCGAGAGACTAGAGGCTATAAATAGGAAAATGGCTGCTAAAAGCAGGACACTTATTGGGATGGGGATAATAGGACTTGAGATTTTGTGATGTGGGGCAAGGTTAAATTCCAGATATAGGAAAGAAACTGCTGGCTACTAATTTTCATTAACATTGTTGGTACTGATAACAGCCAGTTATATAACAGTAGTTAACAGCCAATATACATGACATCTGTACACAGAACAATCAAGTCTATGCTTCAAGTGAATTCAAATAATGTATAGACTACCAATAATTAGATTACTATACCAGCAGCCAAATAATAACATTTATGTTTGTCGACATACATCTATACAATTGGATTTAATCACTTAGTCTCTGGCTAGCTCCACTAGAAGGATTCCGACTGGACATAATTCTTTAAAAATTAAACACAAAAGTGTCTTTGAAAGTGATCTCTCCCAGACAAATATATTTTAAAGTATATATTAAAAGCCAGATGATTTTTCAATAGTAAAAGCAAAAAAAAAAAAAAAAGTTTTCAATGTACAGTTGACATGGTATACACTTTGATGCATGTGACTGAAATTGACAGTCGTTTTGCAAATATTCTGAAAGCTTTCATCCTTTTTAATGGCATTAACATGGAAATAAAGATAGCATTTTAATCAAATTATAAAGACCAAAAACATTTATGCATCAAATTTAAGTTTCAATTAGAATGTATAATGATTTGGCTTTGGTACCTGAAGAGAACGCATTCAGAGAATTACTGAATTAGAGCTGGGGTGAAACCCCAGAA